CAGGCAGCGTAGACAAGACTGCCCTCACACCCCATCATGCAGTTGATGCTGCAGGACGTGGGCAGAGGGCATGGCCGCCATGGCACTGCTGGGCTGCCTGGGCGATCCACGGCGGGCCTGGAGGCAGTGAGTGGCCTTGTGGACAGGCAGGGTGGGGGTGGAGCAGGGGTGAGGCAGGGGGTGGAGTGGGGGCGGGGCCAGTTTTTGGCCACTCAGTCTCTAAAAGATTCGCTATCACTGGCCTAGGTAAAAAGGAAGAGTTTGGAAAGATACCCAGAAGAGACAAGGCATTAATATTTTTATCAACAGCAAGCATTCAATTAAGCTACCATAGCAAGCACTTTCCTGAGAATTCAATGCATAACGTCCAGTGTTGACATAACAAGGCAGATTGATCAAGGACTCGATTCGATGTGAGAATATTTAGCAAGAGGAATCATATAGTGTCAAACAGGAATAAGGCAATAGCTTTTCAGTATGGATTTTCTCAGTGCAGTTTCCTTACAATAAAGCTCAGATGTTCAATAAATTGATCAAACAGCTACGCAGGAAAGGTGGGCACATAGTTAAAAAAACCTGGCTCCTAACCAACTATACTCCCAAATGTTAAGAGAATCAAGGAACAAACAAAGCCACTAACAGTCTTTTTGGAGAAATCTTTAAAATATACAAAATTCCAGCAGACAAGAAAAAAGCAGCAGTTGTTGTATTTAGCAAAAAGGACACAAACCTCAGAAAATTAGTTTTGCTTCTATCTTTAAAATACTCAGAACAAATGTTTACTAACAGAACCTTTAAGCATGAAGAAGAAAACAGAAAACTAAATGAATGTTATTATTTAACAAGCAGGCTCCATTGAAAACTTCTATGGAATTCCAATGGACATTTTAAGGGTTCCATAAAGCAAAGTAAAATATAATATGTAAATTGTGAGCAATAAAGACTAAATTGTTACTTAAAATCTAGGAGCTGGTATAAAAGTTTGCATGGCAAGTGATTGACCCAGTAAGCACTGAGGTGGAGATAATTCAATATGATGATAGCTGAGAAATTTTGGAATTGTGGTCCCAGCATGTTTAGAGGAAAACATATTAGTTTAAATCAGGGGTGTCAAACTGCCAGCCCATGGGCCGGACGCGTCATCCAGAAGCCGCACCCACCCCATTGCCGGCAATGGCAAAACCGCCCCCATATGTTGCGCGATGTCACATGACGTCGCGAGTTTGACATGTCTGGTTTAGATCATTTCCATGTGCTTTTTGATTCTGATGAGAATCTATATTACAGTTCAAGGCATACAGTTACACCATACAATTTAGTAGGATCTGTACTCACATTTCTTTACATTGTTTTAAAAAAAACTGAGTACACTCTAATAAATACCTTAACTTTTTTTTTTACATCAGTGTAATGAGTCAGCAGTGTGATGTTACTTTAAACAGGATTCTACTACAGAGAGCAAGGAGAAAAGAGTCTAGTTAATTTAAATAAAACTGTCATTGACTGAAATAGATAATAATATACATGTTTATACACAGACCAACTGTCTTTCTGTTCTTTTCTTACCAGCTTCATATTAGGCTCTGCACATCTCATTTGCAAGCATGCACTTTAAACAAGGTACTTTTGCTCAACTTGATAGTTTGGGGAAGGACTGGATAAAAGCTAGGTGGAGTTCATTTTTCTCTTTTCATTTCATTTCTCAAGTCAGCAAATTAAAAACCATAATTGCATTTTATATTCATGTATTATCAAGAAATAGCTGGGCCACTGAAGAACATGTTTATCATACTGGATTAAAGTGCTAATGTTCAAACAGTCTGCCTGTTTGATCTAAAGCATGACAATACCAAAACTGTGGTAACAGAGTTGCAAAACTGAACTCCATCCAATTAGTCAGCCAGGCAAACAGCTGAAATTTTTGGTCAATTTCTGCTGGTCATTTTTGATCCAGTCACTTCCACCCATATCTTCTCCCATTCCTATCATCCTTTTGCCAAAATCCTTCAAAGGTATGGGAAGCTCCAAGTTGTGGTCTAACATACAAGGACCAAAATTTGTCCAAGAAATTAATCTCAGCATGCTACCTTAATTTACATAATTATAACCAACTTTCTCATTTATACAACAGCCATCTCAGCCAGGAAACCTGTCAGGGGATAGCTAGTTTACAGGGAAAGCATCAGTCACAGGATAATAAATCAAGTGGGTCTAACCCACATGAATGATTAAATTTGTACCCATTAATCGTTCCAGAAATTGGTGACATTCCTGAGGAGAATCTGGGCCCCTTACTTGAATCATCTTAACCAGTGGAACAACCTGCCTCCAGAAGTGGTGAATGCTCCAACACTGGAAGTTTTTAAGAAGAGACTAGACAGCCATTTGTCTGAAATGGATAGGGTTTCCTGCCTGAGCAGGGGGTTGGACTAGATGACCTCTAAGGTCCCTTCCAACTTTATTTTATTATTATTATTATTAATATTATTTGTATAAATAATCACTCTAGATTTTTATATATAGATGGGGAAAAGTGCCCATAAATATTTCTGATAATATAACATGCATTAGGTTAAACAACAAGGTATCTAATGAAATCACTTACTAATACTTATCTTAAAAAAGGATGTTAAATTTTATTTTATTTCGCTTCAACTGTGTGAATCCCCCAAATATCTTGCTTTGAACTATTAATGACTCTCACTAGTAGGCAATTTCTGGAGCCGCTGGCAACTGTGCCATGTTTCCTTTTGGGGTAAGGAGCAAGGAGCAGTTGCCCTCAGAAGGACTTGACTGCCAGACTGGACTGTGCTTTAAGGTTCTACCAGTCCCAAGAGGCACCTTCTCCACTTTCCACTGAACTCTGAACCCAGCACTGGTTTAGCAAGCCTGATGTATTCTGGCCTCAGTCCAAAGCAAACGACAAGTCTCTCTCTCTCTCTCTCTCTCTTCCATCACAGTGTGCTGTTGGTGTGTCATCAAGATGACAAGGAAGGGTAGGGACAAGGGGAACCTGTTTCACTTGAGTTTGACCAGCTATGTGAACTAATTCCAAAGATGAAAACTGGTCTTCCAGTTCTACCCCTTATGAAGACATTTCACAGACACACACAATGGAATTTCAAAAAGAGTTACAATTCTCTACTCTTTTCTTCTCGTTGCTCCATAGAATAGTTGTTGCATCTCACTCAGACAAGGTCATGATTCCAGGAGTTGAGGAGAGAACAGTTTCTGGGCACAAAAGCCCTGGACCAAGAGGAGAAAAATTATTAATTGACTCACAAGCCATTTTCCTACTTCCAGGCTGGCCTGAATCCCAGCAGGACTCAAACCCTATTATGTTATTTCTAGGTCAACAGTCTCAGAGGAATGCCCCTCATTCACATACACGCAAACACAAATACATACACAGAGAGATCAGGAGGAAGGTCTGTCCACGGCCAGCACCCTGGTTGGAGATTCACTGGAGACAGTAAGCACCTCATATTTTTTTTACACATAAGTTTGAAAATCCTCAAAATTAAACAGGACTTCACATGCCATTTATGATTCAAATCACTTTCTGCAATCACACAATGATAACTGTGAAATGGTCTTCAGGAGCGACTGATGTCCATGAGCTCACCTCTTTGGGGTGGGATTTTTTGAGGGGAGGGGGGCAACCAAGAGAATGAAAGGATGACATCATGAGCGGCAAGAGAAATCTGGGTTATCAACAACCGGAGAGAAGTGCTAATGACACCCACTTTCCTGGAGGAACAGCAAGGAGGTTAAATCCCACTAGGGATTTTCCGCTACCCCTCCTTTCCCCTTCATTGTGTACGGCCAATTTGCAAATCCTCACAGAACATTAATTCCAGGCCCAGCAGAGACAAAGGGAACCGCAGCTAGAGCCCAGGGGGTTGCCTGGGTGCAAAGTCTGCCGCCTGGCACTGCCAGAGGGCCGAAGAGGACCATGCTAAGAGGCAGTGGCCTTTCCACAGCACTTCTTTAGACACCCTGCCAAGACACTAGCAAAGGATCAAGCATTCATTACATCCTTTTTGCTTATAAAAACTAATAAATGGTGAGAGGGGGAAGCAATATAGCTGAAGCTGGTAGCATCCTTTTCCCCAAAGAATTTTCCATTGCTGAACAAAGGTAAACACCCAATATTGCCTTCCTGTTCAAGGATCTGTCAGTGCCACCAACCAGGGTGGGGCAGCAATGATACCATCAGGCTTTGGAGAATGTGGTCCTTGGGGTGCTCAGACAAGCGAGTGTTGCTAAGCCTTTGATCTCACCTAGCAGCCCGCTAGTCCTGCAGAAGATTAGGCTGTAACAAAAGCCAACACAAAGCTACAGTATAAGGAATTGGAGCGACTGAGGAGAGGGAGGAGATATTTACATAGGGCAGTGTAAGACAGGAGCTGCAGTAGACATGGCAAAATGCCCCTACCCATGCCCCCCCCACACGCTTGTTACTACCTATCTGAGACTCCCAGACCTCTCACCTGTCAATCTGAGAAAAGCAAACACCTGTTTGGTGAGAAAAAGACATGAAGTAATCCTCCTAGGTGCAAGGCGACCCACTGCTGGCTCTGCCAGCCCCACCCGGACTACCATCTGCTTGAGAAGGCGCAAGCGAGCTGAGCTCATTGTTAGCGCCGGGAAAAAAAAAAAGGGGGGGGGTTGGAATGGAAGGAAGATTGCCAAGGCAGCCCACCGCACCCCTGGACCGATGCGACCAGGTGGAGCATCCCTGAAGCCGGGAGAGGGGGGGGGCGAGGCTGACATATTCTCCCAGCCGCCGCCAACCAGAGGGAGAAAGAAAGAAAACTGCGGCTCCAATGAAAAAAACCCAGGAGTCAGTAAGCTGCCAGAAAGGGAGAGAAAGATCGGGTCACAATAGCGCCCCGGGGGAGGTAATCCCCGCTCCCTCACCGCCTTCTCTAAGAGCAAGAAAATAAAGGACATCGGCCAACACCATACCAACCCCCTCTGCACGCCGCCGGCCGTACCTGCACCGCCGTAGGCTTTGGCGAGCGCCCAGGCCAAGCTGGCAGCGCTCCGCGCCCGAGGGAAATCATACTGATCCAAAGGCTTGATCTCGGGCACCAGGAAGCTCTTCCTCATGGCCGCGGCAGCTGCAGGAGCAGCGGCAACCATGGCCCCACCACCGGGAAAGAGAAGGGGACTCGGCCTGGTGTGGCGGCGGCTAAGGCGACAGCAACGGAGACTAAGCTGGCGGCGGTAGCCCCAGCCGAGCGCATCCCCGTCCGGTTTTTCCCTCTCCACCAGCTCCAGGTGCGAGCGCCCGCCCAGTCGTCCCAGTTTCCCGCCCCCCCTCACTGCCACGTGATCGCGGCCGTCAATCAAGGGCGAGGGCGGAGCTTCCAGACAGGTAATTGCCCGGGGCAAAAGGAGGCGCTGGTCTAATGTGGGTTGGGTAGATTGGAGCCGCAGCCCTGGGTGGTTGGGGCGCGTGCGCGCCTTGCACCAAGCAGGCCGGCGGGGGCCGCTTGGAGTCCATTGAGCGTCTGTTGCCAGCGCTCTCCCGGCAGTGAGGATTGGGGGAAGGAACGAGAAATGAGATCGGGATTTCCCTCTCCTCTTCCCTCCCCCTTCCTGGTTATATAGGCTGGAAATGACTACGGCAGTCCTTCTGCTGGAGACAGAGAGACACACACAGACACACACACACACACACAAGGAGCCGCAGCCCGGGCTAGAGCAAGCGCGCGCGTGCTCGCTCTTTTCGTCTGCACACCTCCACCATGTTAGCAAGCGGCCAGTCAGCCATGAATGACCCTCCCCCGAAGGAAAATGACTTGTCCCTCGGAGCGCACTCCAACCCAGCTGGGACCTTGGCTCATTTCCGTGACCAATACGCAGCGCGGGTTTGGCTTTGCGCCCGGCGTTTGTGGGAAAAGCATTGGGTTGGAAAAATGAGTAGAATTACGCTTCTTCCTCTTGCTCCGACACGCTCCCATCTTTGCCAACAAAGATGCTGTGGAGCTGGGAAAGGCCACCGACATAATCACAAAGGCTTGAGGCACTTTTGGGGGGGGGGGAAATGCTAAGGGAGAATTTCAAAACAAACCTAGAAAAGACCGAAATCCAGCCACCGTTGATGGGGAGGTTTTATTTCTCCTGTAACTTTAACTCGGGGCATCCAATCGAAGATTAAGGGGCGATAATGGTATAAGCGGAATTTGGGGCTGAACGATGCAGTAAAGACCACTGGATTTGGCTGCAGCAAGTAATTACCATTTTGTTAGGATGGAGCCAATCTAAATCCTATTGATCCAGGGAATGGGGGTGGTAACTAAAGGTTGAATAGCGTAGGGACCAACGCCTTGAATCCTTAGTTTTTCAGCCTGAAATTGGGTTTTTGCCCAGCATTTATTTTCCTGGCTGCGGTTGACCAAAAACAAATGGTCGGAATTTTTTTTCTTTTTTAAAAAACCACCTCGAAGGTGAAGGTAAGCCTGACAAGACATCTTGGCACAGAGGTCATCTGAAGCTTCCATATTCAGAGGCAAAATAATTTCAAATGCCAGTTTAACTGTTTAAACAGGGAGATAATGAACTTGTCAGGGTCTCGTTTGTTTGCTTGTGTATACATGTAGATGAAGCATAATTTTAACTGATATATATTGCCACATTTTGCATATATAAGCAAAAACCTACTCACACACCCTCCTCTCCCCATCTTCCTAGGTAGGTTCTAGTGAGCCACCCTCTTCACAAGATAAGCACCCTCACAGCTAAACTTTTAAAATGTGATTTGAAATGAAATTATTTCAAGGCATTTCACATTTTCAATGAACATTTGAGGTTTGCATGTAGCCAAGGACACATTTTCCAGATGCTTTGATTTTATTCCAGATGTCATAGTCTTGAAACTCCAAAGAGCAATCTAGGAAGCAGGCAGTTCTGTACATTAAACATGGAAATGATAATCTGTTTTTCCAGAGACAGAAAAAATGTATAAAACGAGCCCTTCTAGTTTCTTGTTTGTCACATTTGAGTCTATATAAGCTTCTTTCCTAGATATCAAACTTGAATTTTGCCTTATATATGCAGGGCTTTTTTTCTCATAGAACGCCCAGAACGGAGTTCCGGCACCTTTTTTGGATGAAACCTTGTAGGGCAGGCAAAGTGGGTTGTATGACATGTGTGAGTTCCAGCACCTTTTTTTTAAAGAAAAAAAGCACTGTATATATGTAATTGTTTTGTTAAAAGTATGAAGCAACTACTTTATCAGCTTTTAGATAAAACTTAGGAGCAAAATGTACTTTCAGTCCATTACCCTAATGAACAAAAGCCAGTTTAGTATCGTGGTTAAGGCATCAGACTAGAAATTGGAAGAGTGAGTTTTAATGCCACCTTCGGCCAGATGAGGATGGATGGATGGATCTTTTAAAGGAGGCAAGGACAAACCACTTCAGAAAAACCTAGCCAAGAAAACTGCTGGGACAGCAGTCACTGAGAATCAGACACAATTGAATGGAATCAGACAAATAATGAAGGGCATTTGGGTCTTATCAACTAATTTAGAGCACCTGTACACTTGGCAATCTTCAGTTGTAATAGAATATTTAAATTGATAAAGGATTGCAGACAGTGAAAGAATCCATATCAATGTAAGCTGAACAGAGAAATCTTTTGAATCTCATGCCCTCCAGATACATTATGACTACAATTCCCAGAGTTACTACTCACTAGCCATGCTAATTAGAAATGTTAAGAGTTAAGTTCCAAGATAACTGTTGGGCCCCCATTTCGGGCAGGCTCTTTTAGGCCACTTGTATCTATTTGTATTTTTGTTTTGCTTTTTAGTTCCTGGGTAGAAACCCAAATTCCACTGACTCTTAAAACAAAAGAGTCAGAAATAAAAGAATCTGAAGTGGCCTGTAATTATGACAAGTAAATGAGACAATGCATGTGTTTTATTTAGCAAGGAACAATGTGTCCTTTTAATGTCTTCTGTAAAGTATGGATGGCACAACTAACAATAAATTAAACTGCCTCCTAACAATATATAGAGATCTCATGAGGTAAATAATTTGCTAATTTGGGTGCTCTGCAAGAAACTCTATCCAGTTTATATCCTACATGGTGTTTTCAGTTAAATAGACCAACTATACTGGAAGTCATGTAAAACCTTGTACATAGACGTGTAACATAATGTAATATCCATATCTCTCTGCTCTGAGAGTTTAAGGAACGATGGACCATAAAAGACCATTTTTTGATAGATACAAGAAGTCCAGATCTTTATGCCCATCCACACATCTTAGATCGAGGTAAAATCTGGTATAGGGGGCTTTTCCCAAGACATAACTGGGAAACGATAGTATGGATGCAGTCTTTCAAGTATTTATGTCCCAATAATTGAAAGTTTAAAGGTAGCTTTTAACTGAATCTACACACATTTTGAGAGCTAATTAAAGAAGTAAGATACTTATGATCACAATGGAAATCCATGATCATAGAAGCAGACTCAACTTTCACATTTATGTTAAGTATTTATTAAAGCTTAAGTGCCATTCTAATCAATACTATCTCTAAGCAACTTATTGCGTTCTGGATCAACTAAAATTTGCCTGCATTTTCCAGAAGCAGAGTGTAATATAATAGTCATACTCAGGGCTTTTTTTTGTCATAGAACACCCAGAAGAGGGTTCTGGCACCTTTTTTGGATGGAACCTTGTAGGGTAGGCAAGGCGGGTTGTACGATATGTATGAGTTCTGGCACCTTTTTCTTTGTTTTTTTACACAAAAAGCACTGGTCATACTTGGATATAACTAAGATGTATAACTTTGGCAAGGACATTTTCTCAAAACTTTGGTTGCACTCTGTTGAACTGAAGCAAAAATTGCTACCTATTTGTTCAGGAGCAATGCCAATCTTAGAAGTGTTTCTGAATTGCAGATCTCCTTAAACAGAATGAAACTCCCTCCAGAATAGGTTGACTCTCTCATTTTGGATAGCCTTTTATCTAACCAAGGGAATCCTGTCTTCCCTGGATTAAGTCATATTGAAACTCTTATTGATCCTAGAACAGTGGTTCTCAACCTTTTTAATGACGCGACCCCCAACCGGTCGTAAGTCGGGGACTACTCAACTGGTCGTAAGTCGAGAACTACTCAACTGGTGCAGCATCGTTTGCAGAATGGGAATTTTGGCGGGCTCAGCAGGGCAGAGACAGCCTGGACAATTCCTATTGGTTTTTGAAAGCCAATAGAATTAGACTCTATTCAAGGGAGTCTATTCTATTGGCTTTCAAAAGCCAATAGAATAAAAGGGAGTAGCACAGCTAAGGAAAAGGGGAAAAAATAGCGGACTGCGTTGTTTGACGACCCCCGTGAAATGTTCGTTCGACCCCAAATGGGGTCCCGACCCACAGGTTGAGAACCACTGTCCTAGAAAGTGGCTGAGATTATCCCAAGTAATACAACCTAGCACAAGATCTAAATAATGGATCTTTTAAAAAATAATGAGTCCAAATAAAACAAAATAAATATTAATTTTATTGAATTACATTTGAATTTAAAAAGAGCTTTGCCAATAACTAGGATTCCTCTTAATCCTCTTGTGAAAGAAGATGGATAAGTGAGATTGGTAACTTGTCCTTTTATACTTCTCCCTTCTCCTTCTCCCAAACACAACACAAAACATTTCTCATATCCTAAAAAAACACAAGATTCCTAGTGGCTTCATGCATTTTCTTTGAAAACTGCCTTCTGGAATGTGTGTCCATGTGTAGTTTCTTTTTAATTGAACACTGTAACATACAAGAATTTTAAGGATTTTTTTCTCTCCTTTTTTCTGTTTGCCAGTTAGGTTCAAACTAGTGCAGTGTTTCCCAAACTTGACAATTTTAAGGCATGTGGACTTCAACTCCCAGAATTCCACAGCCAGCGTTGCTGGCTGTGGAATTCTGGGAGTTGAAGTCCTCATGCCTTAAAATTGTCAAGTTTGGGAAACACTGAACTAGTGTAATAAAAGAAAGCAAAAACTCTATAATTTTTTTTTAACTCCAAAAACCATTGCTCAGGATCAGTCAAACGAAGGACTTCTTCACTTGTCTTGAATTATTAGATTCTGGTCTAGACATGAGAAATCAGTTAGAATTGCTTTTACCTAATTCCAGTAAGAATCTTCTCCACTTTTAATGCCTTAGAGCAGACGTGTCAAACTCGCGACATCACGTGACATCACACAATGTATCGGGACAGTTTTGCCATTGCCGGCAATGGGGTGGATGCAGCTTCTGGATGACGCATCTGGCCCAGGGGCTGGCAGTTTGAC